ATTCTTCTGCTAACCCGGCTCCCATGAACGGGTTCGTGCAGCAGGCTCTCAATATGGGCGTCCCTGATATGGAGAAAACCGTGATGAGCGGGTTTAAACCGGAGTTGTTACCGGTTTACAGGGAGTTAGCGAATGAGTTCGGGGTGTTCGACCGGTGGTTCGCGTCGGTTCCGGCTTCAACTCAGCCGAACCGGTTTTATGTTCACTCGGCAACTTCTCACGGAGCTTCCAGCAATGTCCGCAANTATCGACGGCCTGAACGGCTCCGAGTTTAACCTGGTCAATGCGTCCGACCCTTCTTCCCCGAAAATCTTTGTCTCCGATGATGCTGTCTTCGTTGACTCCGACCCGGGTCACTCCATTCAAGCTATTCGAGAGCAGATATTCGGGTCCAATGATTCCTCCGCTAACCCGGCTCCCATGAACGGGTTCGTGCAGCAGGCTCTCAATATGGGCGTCCATGATATGGAGCAAACCGTGATGAGCGGGTTTAAACCGGAGTTGTTACCGGTTTACAGGGAGTTAGCGAACGAGTTCGGGGTGTTCGACCGGTGGTTCGCGTCGGTTCCGGCTTCCACTCAGCCAAACCGGTTTTATGTTCACTCGGCAACTTCTCACGGAGCTTCCAGCAATGTCCGCAGAGATTTAATCCATGGGTTCCCTCAAAAGACCATCTTCGATTCTTTAGACGAAAATGGCCTCTCTTTTGGAATTTATTACCAAAACATCCCAGCTACGTTTTTTTTCAAGTCACTGAGAAAACTCAAACACATTTTTAAGTTTCATGATTATGCATTGAAGTTCAAACTCCACGCTAAACTTGGGAAACTACCAAATTACGTGGTGATTGAGCAGAGATACTTTGATATTAAACTTGACCCGGCTAATGATGACCATCCATCCCACGATGTAGCACTTGGACAGAAATTTGTGAAGGAGGTTTATGAGACTCTGAGGGCGAGTCCACAGTGGAAAGAAATGGCACTGTTGATTACGTATGATGAACATGGCGGGTTCTTTGATCATGTACCAACTCCGGTATCTGGGGTGCCTAATCCTGATGGGATTATAGGGCCTCCTCCATATTACTTCAGATTTGACCGCTTGGGTGTGCGTGTCCCTGCTTTCTTGATTTCCCCATGGATTGACAAAGGCACTGGTGAGTAGCTTTATATTGACTAATTACTTGTATTTCATTTCATTATCATTTAACTGTTTAAGGTACTTTTTGTGGTTGATATTTACTACTTATCATTTGATTAGGAGAAATATATGTGGTAAAGCTGGTGATAGGAATAGGACTCAGTGGGGTTGTTTTTTGCCAAAATAATTTACCGGCAGCTTTGAGATGAAAAATTTGTAAATTAACTAAGAAACTTTCTAGTCGTGGTATTGCTATATGCCTGCCGTTGAAGCTTATGAGTTATAACCATGTTGAACACAAAAGAGGTGCCATTACAACTTTACAAGAATTTCTTGCGCTAATGTTTGGTGTTGGCAGTTCAAAGAGTTTTTACTGCGCTAGACTTGAGCAACTTTAAGCCTGTTAGAGCGGCTGTGTGTATAATATACCTCAGGTTCTACTACTTGGCTTATTAAAATAAGAAATATTTCTGCAAGGCCATTAAAGTGAAATATTCTCCTGTTGAAATTAAATCGATGGTACATTAGATGCTAACGTCAAGTAACCTATGTGCTTGCAGAGGAAAAAATGTAATATATTCTTCTATGATAAGAAACTGGCGCATATATAATTTGCTTTCTTTGGTGAAGATGGATCAGAATTATCTTTAACCTTACCTTATCAATATGTTTGATGCAGTGATCCATGAAACAAACGGTCCAACCCCATCTTCACAATTTGAGCACTCTTCCATACCAGCAACTGTGAAAAAACTTTTTAATCTGAAGTCGAGTTTCTTAACCAAACGAGATGCATGGGCTGGGAGCTTTGAGAACTATTTCCGCATGCGTAAGACTCCCCGTGATGATTGTCCAGGTACAACTTCATCAAACCATGAACAATTATTTAGCGTATTTCCCAATTACTACATGCTTAATACTGAAAATTCTATGTTCATACAGACTAACTAATAGTCACTTAGACCGGAAAGTAAGGAGTTCCATGGAATATATATGGTTGTTTTTTAGATGTTGAATACTTTAGGAAACACTATACAGTAAAAATATATCTGCTAAAATTCTTCAAAAGCACATATAGTAAAGACTCTATTACTAAAACTTTATTCGTACTTTTAACGCGTTATGACTACTATTTCTAGTAAAAGCTGTTTCTTTCCTCAAACTTGTTATGATGCTAAGCAAACACAATTTTTTTTTTCTGGGTAAGCTGCTTTACACTTATGGAATACTATGGGCTCCCGCATGAACTCGTTTTCCCGACTTCAAGAGGGTGTTCTTTTAAGCTTTTTCCCACTTTAGCTACTGCAGGAGTTGTAGTTTCTCTTTCATCATTTAAATCAATGAGGTGTTTTCCATCTCTGGTATCGGTGAATGCTGCAGTTATCCTTTATTCAGGTGTGTGATATGGTAAAACTGATTTGATCTTTTACAGCTTTTAGAATGTCGGAGGAAGAAGAATGGGGTGCTGTATCTTTGATTATTTGTGAAAATTGCTTCAATGTGGGCTTGGGTTGTTGATAGAACAGATTGGATCTCTGATATAACCATCAGTTTGGATGAATTGAGTGGATCTATGATTTATACTTGTGTGGAGTTGCGTGAATAAAAACTTAATTGATGGTTAGAAAGGAATTACATTTGTTTAATTATTTTAGGTTTGCAACATACAATCCTGCACATGCAAGCCTAATTCTGTTTGCTAGGCCAAGTACATGGGGAAATACTTATAGTGATGGCAGGCTGTATGAAACTCGAAATGAGGACTCGTGCCTGCTCTAATACTATGTTGTAATATGTGAACCGTCATTGACAAACTTTAACGGTTACAAGGGGAATTGTTTTCGTTATTTATTATATGTTTGCAATAACTTAATACACATTTTTCTTTGGAGTCTCCTAATTCTTCAAATAAAACAAGAGCTTTATCACCCATTTACCTGGATAATCATAATGATTTGATCCGTATGATGTCTAAGCAGAGAAACTTCCTGAGGTGAAGACAAATCTAAGACCATGGGGACCAAGAGAAGATGTAAAACTCTCTGAATTTCAAATAGAAATGATCCAGCTTGCGTCACAGCTTAATGGTGATCATGTGCTCAAAAGCTACCCTGATATTGGACGGAACATGAATGTTGGTGAAGCTAATCGATACGTAGAGGATGCAGTCAATAGGTTCTTGGAAGCTGGAAGGGCTGCTCTAAGAGCTGGAGCAAATGAGTCTGCCATTGTTACAATGAAACCAGCCCTCACTAGCCGAGCATCAGAGGGAGGATTCAACAAGTACCTGGAAGCCTACTAATTTGGTTTATGGGTCTTGTAAGTACTGCCCTATTATATATGTATATATGTTATGTTGTATGTAATCCACGATCCTGCATAACGAACCACACTTGCCATCAATTGTCCTTCCAATGATAAATACATTATATTATAGTCTTGAAGAGCAATGCTCGTTAAAAAAATTAGGAAAGATTTTTCTTTTAAGTGTTGGACCGATTATTGTAATCACTTTTAGTAAACTCATTTTAGCCACATATATGTTCCCATGAATGCCCATCTTTTGCGCCTTCTTCGTTTTCTTTTCTTTTCTTACCAAAATAATTGCTGTTAGTTCCAAAGTTCCAACCATACAGTTTAGCTTGCGAACTGCAGTAGAACTAATGTTTTGTTTTTGTTTTCCCTAAAATGTTATACTACAGCAACAACAACCCAGTAGAATCTCACAAGTGAGGTCTGGGGAGGATAGAGTGTACGCATACCTTACCCTTATCCCGTAGGAGTAGAGAGGCAGGGAAGGGCAGAGTATATGCAAACCTTCCAATAATGCTATAAATAAAAAAAATTATTTTTAGAAGATTTGTGTAAAAGCTCCTTGTCTTTTTGAGCCGAGGGTCCCCGGAAACAACCTCTCTACTCCTTCGATGTCGGAGTAAGGTCTGCGTATACTCTACCCTTCCCAGACCCCACTTGTGGAATTCTACTGGGTTATTGTTGTTGTAAGCACTCCCTCGTTTAGTCGTTTATCTTGTATAGCCTCCATATCGTCTAATTTAGAAAATAAATTGCTAACTAGAATTCATACTTCAATTTAGTTGTGGCCAAAATGTCTTTTGAAATCGTAATTAAATTTTCTATAGCCTTGTATGCTTCAATCGGCTCGCTTTTCTAATTAATGGCAAATTTTATAAAGCTAAATTTTGTAGCCCTTGATATTACGGGCAAAATTATCTTTCTTTGGTGCTGGATGTTGAGATCCACCTTGATGATATGGGTCTTGAAGACACCGTAAAAGAAAATAATAAAGCATCAAATCAGGATCGTGCTAAATCGATGTTATTCCTTCAACCGGATTCAATAGCAGCTCCTGCACCCATTGGTTTTGCACCTTCTAACATCTTGAGCTCGGTATTGTACCTTAACCTCAGTACACTTCACACCCACCCAATCGTGAGAAAATGCGTCGTCAAGATGACGAGAATTTAAAAATTAAATATCTCACAGTCAAAGATCCACTTATATTGTGTAGTTATTTGAAAGATAGATACGACAACCTGAAATTGATTGTACTTCCACAAGCACGTCATGATTGGATCCATTTAAGAATATAAGATTTTAAATTTGTCAGTGAATATAATTCTTCTATGTTTTAGATGACCTCACAACTGAAATTGTTTGGAGATAAAAGTATTGGCTATGATATGCTTAAAAAATGCTCATCACTTTTTATGCTACGGACATGCTCCTGCAGTAACAATATCGAGAGATGTGGTTCAAAAAATATTCTGAACGGATTTTACAAGAAGTTTTACACCTTCTTGTTGATGAACGATATAATACGTTGTTGATGAAAAATCATGAAAGTCGACCTACAAGTTCAACTCCATTCCCAAAAGTGAATGACATGAATTTTCATCAATCTGAGCATGAAAAATACCATGACTCTACTCGAGGTCGTGGACGTGGTCGTGGAAAAAATACTAATTATGGTGAACATGATACATTAAAGAAAGCCCCCTCACCATCAGTAGTTGAAAAAGATGGGTAAAAAGCATGAAACTGTGCGGAAAAAGGATTAACACTACTAGAAATCCGGAAAAAAGCGACCAAAATTTGGCGACCAAAATTGGTCTGTGGGAAAAAGCGACCAAAGTTGGTCGCTAAACTAGCGAAAATAATAAAATAAATAAAAGAAACAAACCTTGGTCGCTACTTGGTTGCTATATTAGTCAAAATGTTGACTGGACTGGTCAGACTTTCTTGGTCAAATATTTACTGAGATTAGTGACCNGTCTCTATTCAGGTCAACAATGGTCAAAATTAAAAATCACTTTTGTATTTACTATCTAAATAATATAACTATAAGCCGTTAATACTTTTGTAATACAAGGGATGAATAGTACTATGAATCGTGCGTGTCTCTCTCTCTCTCTTTCTCTCTCTCTATATATATAAAATATATACTTACGCTATATTATGCACTGAGTATAAGTCTATTAGGTAATATTATATCGAATATAGCTTACATATATAATATATATACTTACGCTATGCTATGCACTAAGTATAAGTGTATTAGGTAATACTGTATCGAATATAGCTTATATATATACTCACGCTATACTATGCACTAAGTATAAGTGTATTAGGTAATACTGTATCGAATATAGCTTATATA